GGTTGTGGGGCTGGGGCATGAGGCTGCGGTGCGGAGCATGGCTATGGGGCAGGGCATGGGGGAATGGGTAGGTCCTGCAGCTGTGAGCTGGGCACTGAAAGGGGGGATGAGGACTGGGAGCTGTGGGGTAGGTGTGGGGCAGCAGCTAGGGTGAGGGGCTCTAGGGGCGAGGCAGTGGCGGGTGTGGGTAGATGCAGGGCTGTTGGGAGCTGGGGTGAATGCAGAGTCGTGGGGTCTGTGGGGTGGGTCAGGGTTTTGGAGGGCTGGTCTAGAGCATGGGGTGAGATTGTGGCCTGGAGCCGCTGGGGTTCAGGGCATGGGGCTTCGGGGTGGGGGATATGGCATGGGATGTGTGAGCGGATGGGAGCACGAGGCTGCAGGCCCTGGCACCGGAGGCGTGGTGTGCAGTGGGAGCTGCTGTGGGTGTACTGGGTATGACTGGCCGGGGGGTGGCTATGGCTGCGTGGCAGAGAAGGTGACAGTGGGAAGGGAGCTCCTGGCCTTGCTGAGATGCTGTGGGAGATGACTGATGCACTGGCTTCGCTGGCCCCTGCTTCTGGGGCCCAGGCTCTGACTGCCCTCTCTGTGGTTTCTCCTCCTTTCCTGGCACGGCTTGAGGCATTTGGTTTCCTTGGATAATTTGTCTTTCTGCTTGGAGCAGCAATTTGGTGACTTTGTTACTTTAGGGAATTTGCAGCTTCAGGAATGTGGCTTTTTAAGGATAAGGCAGCGCATTTGTGTTTCTAGGCAGTGGCTTCAGCATGTTTTGAAAAGGAGTTGAGGGAGCAGAGAATGACTACGCAGGCTACATTACATGGAGGGGTAGCTTATAGACCTTTCCCAAGACTGATGGATTGTGAAGTGATCTGTCGTACCTTGGTGACGAGATGAGCTGGTAAAACGGGAAGATAACCCAGTGGTCCGTGTAATGCAGAGTGAAGAAAATGCCAAGGAAATTTGGGGGAATTCACTAAACTATGTGACATTCAAGATGTTGCAAAGGAGTTGCACAAAGCCTCTGACGTATTTGGGATGGGGGGGGGGTGTATAACCTTACAACTACTGTTGTCATCTGTGGTCATGTTACAGAAGTGCCTGCAGAAAGCTTTGTCTCTTTGAAGATGTACAAAGAGAAGAGCCGCCCCCCCACCCCCACC